GGTAGAATGATCTGTCAACTGCTTTGTTTTTGAGCAAGACGTGTAATGTCATTCCAGGGGGACTTGTGATGGCTTAAAGTATGTAAAGTGTAATGCTAAAAGATAACCAGCTTGATTAAAGCGGTGCTTCAGATAAACTACTTCACAGTTCATTCAGCTCCTACTTTCCCTTACAATGTTTAATACGTAAAAGTGGCGAACGGTCAATAGGGCACTATGGTGTCACCCCACTACACACAAGACTTTCAAATGTTCAAAATAAAAGAAAATACTTTGAAGAACTGTTTATGTGTCATGCATTTCGCTGTTCTGAAATTTGAGCCTAAAGATCACAACAAACAACGCTGAATTGTTGTGCTCTGAGTTGGACTACTTATTTGTGCAGGTGAAATTAGCAAAATGGATAAAGAGGACCTGAACAATTACCCATGTTAAAAGTGCTTTCTAACAACTGTGTGGTGGGTCATTAAGACATAAACCTTCAGGCACTCAAGAATGTTTGCTATTCCCCATGACCTGCCTCAATGCACACTTTACCCAAATACTTTTATGGCTGGCTATGTCCAATTTTAGTCTCCTGTCACTTTACCAGGAGCCCAAGGGTGATGTCACACACACAACATCCGTAGTTTTATAGTTTTTCCTTTTGTTGGCGGTCTGCTGGTGTGGAGTGTAGGGCATTGCATTTGTTCAAACCCCAGGAAAAACAAGATCTGGCCGGATAAAGGGTCTGCAAAATATGTTGATTTATTGTATTCGTAAAACAGCTCTGGGTCTTTTTTTTTTTTTTTTTTTTGTGTAGACATGAGCAAATTCAATGTACAATGTACTCTTGGCTGCACATGTGAACCAGAATCTGCAACATTAATAGAAAGCAAACTTGAGACGATCTCTCTTACCCAATACAGTGTGTCATTTCTAGGCTGGTGAATGAGATGCCCGTTGTGTAATCGTGAGCTGCATGAATAGCTATTGAGCGCCAGCTGAGGTGATGTTGGAGCAGGTTGTTCTATTTAAAGGGGGAGTTGTGAAATGATGGGAGATGAGCTTTTGAAGGCTGATGCGTGAAATTAGATCCTTCTGTTTCAGCCATAAGAACATTCAATTGTGTAAAACACAATATTTGTTTTCTCTAACTCCATATATTTTCAAATATACATTGTAAATAACGTTAGGCTAATGTATTGTTTTCTTTGTCTGCCTGTAGCTAATGTTACGTGTATTTATTTCAGTTATTCCTTTCTAAAAGTGATTCTTATGTATACATTCATTTCATGCAGACTGATGCATTTCATGTGTTTCTCTTTTACATTTTAAGATTTTAACCGACAACCAATCACCAAAATTTGAAAGTTGTAAAAAAGGTTCCATTCTGAAGACACCCGGGCATCAGCTAATCAGCTAATTAACTCAAAACCCCTGCAAAGGCATTGAAATGTTGGCTCAATCTAGTCTCTGTGCTACAAAACCAGAAGGAAGACTGCTGGTTGCACAAAAGATAAGTGGCACCTTGCACTAGGTGGGCAAGACACAAAAAGTCAGCAAATTTACAAAAGAGACTGTTGTTCAGAGAGCTCTGTGTCCAAGCCCCATTAATAGAGTGGCGAAGGGAATGAAAATAAGTGGGAGGAGAGGATTGTGAAACAAAGGCCATAACTTGGGGGGGATTTACAAAGTGTGAACTGCAGCTGGAGTCAGTATACAAGCGATCCTGGAGGAGATTGTGAACCCTAGAGAGGATTATGAAACAAAAGCCATTCAATAATATGGAAGAGATTACAGGTGCTTCAAGAACCACCACTTACAGATGTATGTTTATGTGCAAAGGAACTGTTTAACAGCATCAGAAGAATGAAAACTGTGTACACATTTTGTTTTAGCAAAACATTAAACACCAATAAAGACACTAGTGGTTTTCTTTTGGAATACTAGTCGTTGAATGAACTATACCAAACTGAACTTGCCATACCATGTCATGCAGTGGAAGAGCACCATAAAGGGCCTGAATAATGGTGCACATCTAATTTGGGCTTTGAATGAAATGTATTGATTTGTTCCTGATGGTCTTGCTTCTGTGTGTGTGGTTTTGCAGAATGAATCTCGTGTTCTTCGTGTCAAGGTCATTGCTGGCATTGATCTGGCGAAGAAGGACATAATCGGTGCCAGGTAAGGAAGTGTGTCCGGATACTTGGTACACAAACACACCTGCTCTGTTTGCCCACCATTCAAAATGCTGGAACCATTTGGACGCATGTCGAGTGTTTGCGTAGCTCTTCCTTTAGCTATGTGCTGCTCCAATGCATCCTCTCTATGTGAGTCTTTCTGTTGATTTTAGACAATAGCCTTATCCAAACAAATGAACTGTCAGCCAGGAAAAAGCACAGTGGCAAAATTCTTGGCCAATCACGTTTGTGCAATGGCGTAAGTTTACCTTTTTCACTTTGTAGTAATAAAATCAGGGGTCATGGAATGTTTAAATTAGACACGTACCTAAAGCTCAGGATGAAATGGGCCGTGAATCAAAAAGTGAAAACTTGAAGCCAAATGTATACTCCTGTGTCAAACCTATGAGCATAACCTGCCTGCAAGATCACTTTCAAAGAAGTCAATCCAATTTTCTGAAAAATGCACAAGAAAGTTTGCCATGGTGTAAATTTATGGTGTTTTTCAGCCAGAAGTGAGAAATACTTTGATTTTCTATTATTTTATTTAATGTTATGTTAGACACTCTTTGATCTGATTCAGATACGTAGAATAAACCTCAGCTGTCTAAAGACTTAAATCTGCTTTAGGTGTTTCATTGTCCCTTATGTTGGGTAACCTTTGATACCAAAAGATTTGAGTTCTTAGAATTTACAACCAACAATTATGGTCACAAATCTCAGGGTTGAACTTCAGTTTCAAAGTAGGTGTCCAGTGGGCGGCCATAAAGTGTGATGGCTATAGCTTTTTGATAAAAAGGCCTTATCTGCATTTGCCAAGTTCCAGTCAATAATGGCTCTATTATTTGTTTGTGCTGCTAAACAGACCACTTTATTTCCTTCCTTTTTCCCCCTTAGTCACTCACCTCGATTAGTTGAAGATAAAGTATTGTAAATGTGAGAAGCGTGAGGTGAGGTTGAGAAATGTAAGCGTTATGTAACAAACAGCTAAGATAAAAACTATTGTGTAATAAAATTACCACTTAATTTTTTTTTGCAATTTTGTTTAGAAATGTCCAGTAAAAGGCAACATACTGACTATATTAGCTTGTTTAAATCATTCACTGCCCTGATTGGTCAATCGATTTGAATATTCATGTTTAGCTAAAGTGAAATGATCTATTAAGAGATGAAACTGTCGCCAGCTTACAAGAATACTAAAGCTTTTGGTACATAGTTTTTTTTGTTTTTAGTTTCTAACGAAAGCTTAATTATTGATAAACCGTTTTCTTTTTTTTTCTTTTTTTTTTGATTGAATGAAATTTCAAAAACAGCAATCTAAAAACCCAGTTCAAACCCAGAGATTCATAATGCAAGCTCTAATATGGTCAAAATCACAAAGCCAGATCCAGGAATGAACTGATGTAGAATGTCTCGTCTTGCTTTATCTGATATCAGTGTCTCTCCCATCTATGCTCCCGTGGTGTAGACGTCACGCTCCTTCTGTTCAAAGCGCTGACCCACTGTAGACTCCAGCAGATTTGTCTCCTCCCATCACTGTGTTTATGTGTGTGCGTGTGTGTGTGTGTGTGTGTGTGTGTGTGTGTGTGTGTGAGAGGCTTCCACCGGTCAGCGTGAGGTTTTTGTGCATCCGAGCAGCTAGAGATTTGCTTTGCATTCAGCAGGAAGACTTCATTGACACTCATGAGTTTTGAGTCTGGCTCGGTGACCGCGTTCAGTTGTGGAATCAAGCTACATCTGCTAATTAATGCAGAAAATATGCAGATGAATGCCACCAGGCATCATCACAGATGCAAGAGACTTTACAGACAGGACAAAATCTGGAGACCTGTTTTTTTAACCTTGAACAAATCGAAATGTTTGCTATCTTTATAATAATTTTGTTTAATTGTGTCATTCAATATTCCCATTGCTACTGTTTTTTTTTAAATTATCTTTAATTGTCCATTTTACCCAAAATATTGTTTATTGTTTTCAAAATCTTCCATAACTTGCTTTATTTATTAAACAGCACAAACTAAATTTGGTGAATGAAAATTTAATAAACATATTTTAGTTTTATTGATATTTTAATTTAAATTTAATTTGTTTCTGTTTTAACTATAAGTTAATTGGTTTTACTACATTATCTCTAGTTTTAATTTATATTTAAGGTTCATGCATCTTATTTTATTCACTTTTTAATTTCTTTTTATGTTTCAGTCTAATTTAGTTAATTGGTAATGCTTTTAATTAGTGCATTTTATGTATTTTTAATTTTTTTTAATTCAAAATATATTTTTTTACTTTGTACAATTTATTGTAATTATACTTATTTATTTATCTTTTATTGATATTTTATTTTAGATTTAATTTCATTTGGTTTTTATCACCACAAAACTAAGTACCAAACCAAGTCCCCCGTGATCAAGTATGGCCATTGCTATGGTAACGGTGCACACTGCAAGTGTCCCTATGACACCTGAGCGGCTGCGTGGCCTTTAAAGAGTAAAATGGGACCGAGATTCCGTCGTCTTGGATTTCTCTCAACGGTTATTATCCAACATCCAAGAAATGCCAAATCCCTCTTTTATCGACCTCAGGTTATTTCTTATGTTTTTGGATTTTTTTTTTTTAAGTTTTAAAAAAAATATATAATAATTGTGTTACATCCCCATGAAAATTATGTTAATGCATATTGTATATTTACAATTGCTGTGATTTTGGATATAGTTAAGACGCTTACATGGTAAACATTAAAATAAAGGTGATTGAGAAAATTTACATTTATGCATTTAGTAGACACTTTTATTCGAAGTGACTTACATTTCAAGCAATTTACACATTCCATTAATTGTTGCTTTTCCCTGGTGTTAGAACCCATGACCTTTGTGTTTCTAGCGCAATGCTCTACTAACTGAGCCACACAAGGAGTCAAAGTTTGAGAATTCATGCTGGATTCTTTTGATAAATGTCATGGTTTTAAGGTTTAGAAAAGTTACTTTATCCAATTTAAGGAGAACAAAAAACTTTGTGGGATAACTTTTGAATTACGTACTAGTGTTTGAAAATACTCAAGGGATAGTGGTCGTGCTTTCAAAAACACATGGCATGGACATGGCCTAAGTGGGCCGTTTTTGATCAAGTACTTTCCCGTGGGAATGAAACCTTCAAATGCTGTTTCCCCAAAGCCATGCTCCACTGAACTAAAAGAAAACACCACATGAGTGTTTTTCCCTGACTGTTCAAAAGCTATTATCTGTAAATGTAAGAAAAGCTGACGATCTGCTAATGTTCGAGTGAATGTAAGGGAAAGGTGCCTGTTCTTGTTGTACACCGGCATGAAAACATCCACGAGGCCCTTACGGAGAGAGTAAAGCCACCTGACAGCGAGTCGCATCAGCAGTTCCTATCCGCACACTATATACACTACTCAGTTTACTATTTTGTGCTTTTGTTTAGAGGAAATTCGGGGAAATTGAGTTCTTAAGGAAGGAGACGGTCATCTCCTTCTTGATGTTTGAGTGCCTAGTCATGTTTATGTGTAAACCCTAGTTTTGTAACTAGACTTGTTTTACTTTAGCAAATATTCATGTATTACAGCCTAGAAGTAAAATCTAAAAACCTGATGATACATTTTCAATGGACAAAGCTTTACTTGTTTGAGTTAATTATAAATATCTATAATATGGACTACATCTAGTTTCAAAATACAATATATCTGTAAAGTGAGATAAAGTGTGTTTTTATCCATCTGAAAGAGTTTGGTCTAATAGATCATAACGAGTCTCTAATAACCACAAAAAGGCTATATGTTCATGACTCTTTTTCCCCTCAAAATGGCAGGTATTTGTTCCATCTACAGTAGCGCATGTAAGTTTTCAGATTTTTGGGGGATTTCTTGGCCATTTTTCAGAAAATATGAATGATTACACAAAAGCAATCTATTGTCAAACAACTGGACTCTTTTTAAATCACAATTACACAGAAACTTTCCGACCCCGATCAAAAGATTTTGCCAGATAACATGCACCAAACCTGAGATGGTACACTGAGAGAGTGCCATCTCATTTCTATTCACCAAAAATATGATTAAGAATGGGATAAAATTTGGTCTAGAGTTGAATATACCTACTGGTGATTCTTGGACAGAACGTCAGACCCATGGTCTGGACAATTCGTAATCCTATTCGACCATAGGGAGCCTAGAAGGGGTTAACAAGACCCTGCCATGTGTTCAAGGGGCATGTTGTACCACGGATTCCCTCTGTGTATACACTGCCACCTCAAGCCCCTTTGTACTGTCTCTAGAAGGATTTTGCTGGCTTTCTTATTTTTCATTCCCTTTACTTCGAGTTTAAGTGTTTGCTGGAGTGAAAAGCCAGCAAAGTCTCTGCACCTGCCAGTCTTTGATTCCAGACATCACTCGGACACATTCTGAGCTCTATACATTCTGAATATATCCAAATATATCTGGATCTTGTGGATTTCTTTGTTTTTAACCATAAGTTTGGATAACGAAGACTGATTGCACCTATTACAATCATCCAGCAGGTATTATTATGAGTGCACATCCCCTTTTAATTGTGAGCTCTCAATCTACTCTATTCTTATTTATACATTTATTTATATAATTCAACCATATGCACCCCCCTCCCCCTTTGTCCCACGTTGGTGCCATAGTTGTTCCATGTGGTTTAACGATTGGATGTTCATCTGATCTATTATTCCACTTTAGCACTCATTGTGTTTTTAATGGTTCCTGCTTGGCACGTTTTTCTGTGCAAATCCCTAATTTCTGAATGGCTTCCCTTCTTTGTTTCCCTGCTGGCCAATTTCCCAACATCACCTCACTCAGAAATGCAGAAAAATACAGATGCTGTACACTATTTTACATATTTTGCATATCTTTTCACAGGCCATTGACTGTTGGGGTTTGTTGTGGACAGTCAGGTTCTATTTTTATTCAAGTGCACTTTTGTGAACCCTAAAAATAGACGGATCTAAAAACTAATGTTTAAGGGTTAATACGCAAGATCCTTTTTCGCTGAAGCAGTTCATTCAGTGAAGTGAAGCATTTCCTCAATTGACCTCTATTACAAAGACTAATATCCTTGTGTTTGGGGTGGAATTTTAACTCAGGCAAGGGATACACTCTTGTTTTTATTGTGTAAAATTCAGTGCATTAAATATGTGCATTATCATATGCAAATGTAGGTTGGGTTTTGTGAATAGCAAAAAAATGGTTAAAGGTAAAACGGAATTTGAGTTAGCATCATCATTTGTAAATGCAAAACTATAGTAGTGCTCATAAGTTTCTTGCCAAAAAGATGAAAAACACAGCACATTTTTTCACTCATTGATAATGTTTAGGTGAAGGCAATTATTGTCAAACAACTGTGATTATTTTTTTTTTTATATTTTATGATTTAGGAATTTAAGAAACGAGGAATGCTAATCAACAATGTTCAAACTCTTATGAAATGAGGGATTCAATTGAAACCAGGTAGACCAATATAAAGAATACAAACTATTGAGAACTGTGGTGTGTGAACAGATATTGTTTGCCAATAAATATCTGTAAGTTCAATAAATGACTTCACCAACCAATTACTGTGAAAACAATTGCAAAGAAATAAATCATTTTGTAAACATATGAGCACAACAGTACTGTTTCAAGCAAAAAACTTTTTTCTTTATCTCTCTTTTCTTATTTATTTATTTTTGTCAAAGTTAAGACGTATATGACTATAGAAATGATCTGTTGACAAGTTAGTTGTAAACTCTTTCATAGTGTGTGATTATCAATCACTTTTCTAATGAATGGATTTAATATAATTTTGTTAGTATTCATTTTTATTTGAGATGGAACGGTATGTAATAAAGTGCCACTATAATAAAAATGTAAGTATGTTACACTTTGCTGGTAATGAGAAATGCATAAAAACGCATCAATACAAACAATTCCTTGTAGAAATAACCATATTTCTGGTCTGGTGAAATTTGTATTCTATGTATAATGAAGCTAAATGTCAAATGTTGCTTTTTTTATTTTTATTTCAGTGATCCTTACGTCAAACTCTCCCTGTACGTCGCTGATGAAAACCGCGAGCTTGCCTTAGTTCAAACGAAAACCATCAAAAAGGTGAGTTTATTGGGTGTTTGTTTGAGCCGATAATTTTTATTTGGTATGCGTGAATCAGTTGAAGGAACCAGAGGAGTGGATGAATGGAGTCATGAGGTGCTAAAGCCTCCACCACTAGGAGGAGTTCCTTCACAGCCTTCTGGCTCTAGTGCATGTGCTTTTTAATTAAAAGAAAAGATAAAAGGGTATGAACTGATGCAATTAACCACTCATAAAAACTAATATCAAACCAAAATTCATATTGTTAACAAAAATTCCCATAAACTGCCGTATAACATGTATCACCTTGGATTGCAGTGCCTTGATTAAACAACAAAACTATTCAAGGTATGAAGAAAATAAAATAGAAAGCGCCTCAGTGCTCAACTATACTTTAACTATGTATAAGTATAATAGAATGTCACACTTTACTTTTTTTTTCTTTTTACAGATTCCAATAGCATGCATAACTAATTATTTTACAATTTAAACGTTTTATCAGATTTAGAATCTAATAAACAATCCTTTTTCTTGTTACTAACCTTTTCATTTTTAATTTAAGTAACTGGACTGAAAGTTACGAGACTTTGATACAGGATGCATTGATACAGGAGTTTTTAGCAAACAATTAGCAAATACATGCTAAATAACTACATGGTGCACATGATTATAGAACTAGGAAATTCTCCAAATTATTGTTTTTACCAAATGTGCACTTTTTAAATAAACGAATTATATCTCTGAAATACTTTGAGTAGTATAAACAGTAGTATTTTTAAATGATTCTCCAAGATATCACAAAACCATCAAATATGTTTATAAGAAATGAGAAAACTGACCTTTGCTCTTCCCATGGCCTTCTAAAGATTCAACTTCCTGCCGAAAAACTCGCATGGAAATTCCCCATATTTTCAGAGAGATGGGGGGGGGGGTTGTTTATCTAAGTGTAAATAATGTATAATGTCATAAATGTATTTGAAACAAACATAATATGTGGATTTACATATGCAAAGAAAGGTTATTTTTAAATGAACTTAATCATTATATTTTATGGTGAAGGGTAGCATCAGAGCTTGAGAATAGACAATAAATGTTTTTCACTGTTATGTGGATTTTAGCAATATTTTAATCATTCTATCTTAAATTTGCAAAAGGGATAGTATAGTAATAGGACCCTTTTCTTAGTACTAAAATGTATTTGTTAAGCAGTTTTGATGCTTATTTGTACATTTAAAGTCCCAAAGAAAGAAATGGCACCCATTCGGTGGAATGGTCCTTTTCATGTTATTCTAATTATATTACCAGCACCAATCTGTGTCATGTGACTCAGCAGATTAGTCATTTAATAAGAAGACAATTCTATGTTTATTTATACTCAAATTGTTATGATGTTGATTCACGTTGATAAATACACCTTCTGTTTTTAAAATATTCTGTCATAAATAGGCTTTTATCATTTTGATCTCACGCGACACCTTGTGGTCAGATAAGTTGCACAATGTACTTTAAAGGAATGCCTTTATTAAGTAGTTATCTGATGGTTCTTATATGGACACCAATAAAGCACTTCTTCAGAGACTTCAGACTTCTTTTGAAGAGTCTAATGGATGGCTCTACATTTATCTCTTTGTCCTTGAAATGCTCAAGGAAATAAACGATACACAGTCACTTAGGTCATCACCAGGATTTATCATTTGACATTGTATATTGAAAAAAAAATAAAGATTTTTTATTTATTTATTTTTTTTTGCATGGAGCTGTATTTTCTTGTTTTTGTAGGAGGTCTGGTGAAAACCTAAAGATCTGAT